ACCTTCTCCTCTCTGTCATCGCTCTCTGGTTTCATTTAAAAGAGTCGATCATCAGATATTGTCCAAGATTAACCTTCAGGGTGGATATTGCTCGCTAGCAGCCTCGCACCAATGACCTAGTTGATGTCATCATTTACCCAGAATGCTTTGCGTGTAAATAAAATGGCCCCATCCGTGTAATACATTTTTAAACTTTTAGTTTAAAAATTATAAAAACTGAACATCCTACAGTATTTTTACAGTCTTTATTTTACAGTTAAAATATATGTTTATCATATAAAGTCTAATGTTACAACTAATCGGGGATCCCTTTAACTTTATACAGTAATGCAATAGATTTTGCCATTTCTGTTCTTAAGTAATTTATATGAGGTTTCCATGACAATTTTTCATTGATGACTCCCAAAAACTTCACCTAGTCACTATTCATTTCAAAATCTGCTGTGCTTTCTCTGTTTTAGGAAGCCCCAGAAACAGAAGTGGTTCCAAACGACATTGAGGTGCTTACTGAGGAGCAGAAAAAGTTGCTTGGCGAGCTGCAGCTCTTCAGAAATAAAGAGGGGAGTGTTTCCATTGAGGTGCGTTTGAAGAACTGCAGCCTCCTTTTTAAATACGAGCGTGCCTTAACATTTAAAGAAAGTTCTATGCAATGTTTTTTGTCCTCTTTTATTTCCTCAGATAATAGATGACACGAAAGAGAAACGGACACAAGTCCACAAAGCCATCAAGACTCAGTTTCCTGGTCTGGAATCCAAGACTGAGGTGAAAGAAGGGGGCAAGTTCATTGTGGCCTACCACACCGCTGGGAAGACGGCTTTAGCAGGTAGGTGGAGCAGAAACACAACCACGGCAGAATTCTGGATACGTGAATACGTTGTAGATACAACAAGCAGCATAGTGCACAGTTTTTCTTTTTTTTTTCTTTTTAACATCTGTTTGATCTGCTGCAGTGGAAGCAGTGCAGAAAACATAGAATGCATGCAGTTGTGTGTGTGCATGCTCACCCCACCTGCATGACTCTGCTCAGTGTTTTTAACTATGAAACACCACTTCAGTGCAGCCTGGTATCATTTACCAAACAGCTTTGATAGAAGTACAAATCTGTGGAACCAAAAGACATAAGAAAACACAGCAAAGAGCATTTGTGCTGCACAGACACAAAAGTAGCTCTCATCTCCCACGCCCATGCATGACGTCTCACTCAACTCATCCTTTGGTTTTTAAGAACCCTTTTATCAGTAACATTATTCTATTCCCCTTTTTGCTATTCTCTTGCGGATAGAAGTCAAAACAACTGCAGGTAAGAACTGATTCTCCACGCAGCCCAAAGGAACTTGCTTTCGAGAGCAACAATATTACATCATCATTAATAAAACGGTTATTATTAAGAAATGAACTTAACTTGTCCTACAATTATGTAGCACAAGCTTTCGGAGTTTAAACCTGGAATAATTGCATGTTTTACTAATTTTACTTCATGTTTCTCGCTACATTTTTTTCTGTCTCCACAGAAGCTCCAAGGAAACACTTTTGGCCCAAAAACCGGGGCAGTTTTTGCCACTTCGTCCTGTACAAAGAAAACAAAGACACCATGGATGCAATCAATGTGTTGTCAAAGTTTCTCAGGTCTGGATGTGGTGTAATTACTGGTTAATAATGAGAGACAGAAGAACATCATAACATTTATACTGACGCTTGTCTTTTCAGGCTTAGACACAACATGTTCTCCTACATGGGTACCAAGGACAAGAGAGCCATCACTGTGCAGGAGATTGCAGTGCACAAGTGAGTCTCCTCTGCAGGAGCTGGGGTTCATGGGAAGTACGTATATGATGACCTGTCGCAGAGAAGGAGTTATTGAATTTATTTTTGTTTGTAGGATCACAGCAGAGAGGTTGGCTCACCTCAACAAGAACCTCATAAGCCTGAAGCTTGGAAACTTCAGCTACAAAAAACATCCTCTGAAGCTCGGGGAGCTGCAGGGGAACCACTTCACTGTGGTCATCAGGTCAGTGAGCTTCATAATTCTTGTTTCCTGCTTGCTAGTGAATGAATCTAAGGCCCAGGTTATAGCTTTATTGAGAAGAAATATTGATCTACACCAAATGTCCCTTTTCTCATGAGGGGGCAGATTTATACTTTTTAAATGTGAACTTTCCCTGTAATTTTTAAGGTTTTCTGAAGGTTGTTCTGTTCTTTTGGCATTTGGTGCTTCTTTTCATTTTCTTTTTCTTTTTCATTTGTTTCTTGTTCTTATACCTGACTGTGTTCAGAGCAGAGGTGTTGTTAAATATAAAGTCACACTGGGGTTGATCACAGGATAACAAATTGCTTCATAAAACAGCCTTTTTTTACAATGTAGATACTCATAATTACCATTCAAGTACCATGTAAGAACTCCTCCATGCATACCCTGTAAATATTCTATCATTACTTTGTATGCATCCCCCTTGAGGTACCCTCTTATGTCCCTTTTCCACTAGTGTTTCTACAGCACGGTACGGCTCGGCTCTGCATGGTTCCAATGGGTTTCCATTATCCAGGTTTTGTGGAACCGGCCCCCATTTTAGTACCAACTTTGTTGTGGTTCCAAGCGTACCGTGCTGACCTGAAAGCGCGACGTCAGAACACTGTTGGTCACTGATTGGCTAGGGGGTGGAGACGCTGGTTGCGTCAGATGAACAGTTGCAGGATTCTTACTTTAAATGTACTACTGTAAGACTCTTATAAGGGTCATTCCATGTCAAATCACTGAAAAATAAGAATTTTAACCTGCCGTCTTAAATTTTAATGAAACTTAGCATATTTGTCAATTATGATCCCATAGCACAGTACGACATATTTTAGGTCAATCAGACCAATGGTTCCAGATATTTTCAGATCCAACATGGGGAGATTCCCAATCCAGGAGCCATGTCTGTGCTATAATGTTGTCTGCTAAAATGACTTCAGAAGTGATTCCTGGCTGGCTGCGCTGAGAGCTGGCTGCAAAATGTGGAGTGGATTTCCTGAGTGGAGGCAAGTCTCAATGAGAAACCCCAGTTCAGGAAGTCCATTCCACACGTTTCACCAAAACATGGCTGGAGTTTAAAAAAAGAGACTTTGAACTATACACCAGTTTTTAAATGTGTTGATAGGCCAAGTAAAACCAGAGCTATCATAAAGATTTCCAACATTTTTTTTTATAAATGATGGTCATTTTGAAACATGTTGTTGCTGCAGCACGAGCAACAGGAAACACATTTTCAGAGTGACCTGATATCATTCCATTGTGCATATTAGGCTATATATTAGATTTGCAATCCTTATCAAATTTCCTTTCGAATGTCACCAAATTTGTGAAAATTGATCCAATAGTTCCAGAGATAGTTGAATTTAAAAATAGGCAGACTCGCCCATTTTAACAGGAAAAAATAAAACTTGTGGGCGTATGACTCTGGAACCACTGGTCCAATTGAACTAAACTTTGAGATACTGTGCTGTTGGATCACAATTTAAAAAACATGCCAAGTTTAATCAAACTCTGAGAAGTTTGGTTTAAACCCACTGGGTGATTTGGTTTCTGTGATTACTCAGTAATTACCTTATGTATCCCTCTTTGTATGCTATTAGACATCAGATTTATACTTGGCTGCATGCTCCAGTGAAAAGTTTTTCACCAACATGTGGTTCAGACTACTTCTGCTGAAGTGCTTAAAATACAATTTGATTTTATCCATCCATCCATCCATTTTCTTCCGCCTATCCGGGGTCGGGTCGCGGGGGCAGCAGCTTCAGAAGGGAGGCCCAGACCTCCCTCTCCCCAGC